GTGTTCTTGGGACATTTGCTTGTGTCTTTTACAGAACAGGAGGGCTATTTGTTGCTGATGGGGTGAGGAGCTGAGAGTGCAGAGGAAATAAGGGCAGAGATGTTCCTGTGCTCCTACAAGTCCCCAGTGGGTCTGCAGTGCTGCCCTCAGGCCGGTGGGTTCAGCATCTCCAGAGGACAGCTTGTAGATCAGGGTGCGTTCTCAGGTCAGTGGTTCAAATGGGAGGACAGGATAAACTCTGAAAAGAACTGTGAGACATGTGCAGTTCTGAGCCTTGCGGATTATTACCACCCTTTCCCCTCTGTTTGACAGGGACTCAAATGTCCCTGACATTTTGCATGGTGTCCTGGATTTGAATTAGCCTGCAAATCATCTCCTGGCTTAGCATGGGTTGGGGCCAACACCATGAACGGGTGCTGGCTCTCTCCCAAAGTTTCTTAAACCTTCCAGACAATAAAGCCTGAGTTCCAGCTCCATCATAAAAATTTATTGCCTGACGCAGCTCTTGTTGCACTGTGAGTACGACAGCCTCATTTTATACGTGGACCCATTTGTGACCTTTTTTGTCATTTTATTTTTTCTTCTCATGTCTAACATCCTTTCTTCCTTTAGTTTAATCTCTGATTTTATATCAACAACAACTCATGCAAGAGGCTGTGCAGGCTTCCTTTGCTCCGGCAGCGCTGCTGTTAGGGTCATAATGCAACAATTCGGTCTAATGGTTATTATTTTGCAGGCTGACTTCAATAATGCACTTTTAAATCAAAGGGCCCTTTGAAGCTTTATTTCTATTGTATTAGACGGATAAACACAGAAGATTTTCACAAACATGAAAGGCATTCACCTTGTAATGTTTTGGGGCTTATTAGTCTCACCAATTTGCATTGTTTTGTTCACATCAAGGATCAAAATGCCCCTTTGCTTGTTTTTGCATCCTGCACGCCCATCTTTGTGCTGAGCAGCTACGGATGCCCCGCGCTGCTGCTGCCTCTCTGCCTACTGACTCACTGCTGTCTGTCTGCAGCCTGAATCCTGCCTTCAGACGCCCACCAGAAGAACCCACTATTTTCACCACTGCAGAATGTTTGCTCGCCTCTTGGAAACGCTGATTTATTTCAGTGTTGTCTGTGCAAAACGTGGGAGGGCGTTCAAGCTCGTGAGGAGTTTAATTTTTAGCGTACCAAACAATTCATTTAAAATCTTAAATGAGTTCATGCTGAGAAGAAAACCCTCAGAAGTCGGAGCATTGGCAAAACAAAGCTCGGAACCAAATCTAATGATTATTTGACTAACCAGCCCTTCGTTAGCTTATTTCTCTAATGAATTATTGAGCTGTACTGGGTAGACATTCCAGAATACATTGCAAAAGCACAATGCTGGCCTTAGACTGTGGAAATACAATAGTAAGAGTGATATAATAATAATAATAATAATATTAATAAGCGCACAGAACGCTGCATAAACACTAATTAATCCTCAGCGCCCCTGAGCAGCAAAGCACAGGATGCTCAGCACATGTAGCAAATTGAGGTAAACAGTATAATTAACAGCAAATAAAAGATGCTCTTATTCTGACCACAGCTCACAGCCCCTGTGGCTGCTCTCCTCTGCGTTCACCTGCAATGGACAAATTAGAACTGCTTCCCAACCAAGTTTGGAATAGGAGCAGTGAGTACAAACAGCTGAGAGCAATATTAGGAAAGGGAATGGTTCTTTAAATCAGCAAAGCTAACAACTGAGGGAAGTTATCTAAGTGACGGTAGAAGCTGCCTTGTGAACGGCAGCAATGCTGTCAGCAGCAACTCCTACCTCGGGGGGTTTCCTGGCTGCTCTCAGCCCATGTGGTGCTGCTGCTGTGGACCCCCAGGCACTGGGGTAGGAATGTGCCAAGGAGACAGAGCAGGACACCAGGAGCTGTGCTTTTTTGGCACGCTTTAGGGAGAGGGAATGGTTTTGCTCTGTCAGTCCCACCCATCGCGCACACACTGTGTGGTTTCTAATAGCTGTCACAGCTCTGAGCATCCAGCAATGGGTGTTATTTTTAGAGAAGCCTTCATTTTATCCGATTCTCTTCCAGCGTAGGTGAGCAGTCCTTGCACAAAGGTGGATGCGGATGAGGAAAGGAGTGTTGCATCATGATTGTGCCTCCTGGAAGGGCTGGGTGAGATAGGAGTACCTGGCCCCCTGCTATGCCCATGTGGGCTAAAGAAGCTGTGTGGACAGTGAGAGAAGGTCTAAGAAAAGAGTAAACTGGAGGTGAAAGGCTCAAAGGTTGAGTGCAATGTTCAGACTAGTCAAAGTTCTGTTACTGCCACAGTGTGGGTCTGTTAATAAAAGCCTGAACTCCAGAGTGCTGGGCAGCCTGTCTTTCAACAGCTACTGCTGCAAGAGTTTCTGATGCAGGCAGGTTGTTCCTTGAAGTCAGTATCCTTTTCCACACCATATCCTAGTCCACGCCTACTGATGTGTTGACAGTCAGACCTGATGATCTTAGTGGTCTTTTCCAGCCTTAATGGTCCTATGATTCTGTGTTTGTCTCTTGTGTAAGAAGAGCTTTTTTTTCTTCCATGGTGTGACACAATTTGATAAAATGCTGCTGCTTGTTTTCACAGCTGTCCTTTCTATGAATGTCTCCAGAAAAGAAGATGAGTTTGCAGTAATTCTCAGCAGTTCAGTGACAAGTCAGATGGCCAAGAAGTCACTTATGGTGTGGTTCAACAGGAGGTAAAGAGTGAAATCTGGTGAGTTGTTTCTGCCTTTACCCCTTGTGGCTGAAGAGCGAAGCTCAGGGAAATGAATCTTAAATGTTCTGGCACTTAGACCAGTAAAAAGAGCCTGGCACAACAGTTATCGTGTAAGTAACAAGATTTTAAAGCAAATATTGTAGATGTTAATAGCTCTGAAAAATTCTGTTACATCTGGTTCTCTTGCAGCCTTCATAACAGGGATTGAGACCTCCTGCAGCCTTTCCCATGGGTTTCCTGAGCCTCCTTGGAATTGCTGCTTCTGAAAAAGCTTTTCTTTTTGATACTGCAAGACTCAGTTTGGGCTCAAAAGTTGTTTCACAGAGAGCTGTTCCCAGACTCCACCTTTTTTTTGTCCCCCAAGTGCACTTCAGCTGGTAGGAGCATGCTTTGATGGGCAGGTTTCACAGCTGTGATTTCTCATTTACCTTCATGCAGCAGATGTGTGTGCTGCTATGGGCTGGTAAGGCGAGGACTTTGGCAGCTCTCTGTTGGGGCTGATTATGGTGTGCTGGAGGTTAAGTGTGGGGAAGTTGTTTCCTGCCTAGAGCTGGATTATTTTTGTATCACAGAGTAGTTTTCGAAAAGTCTTTACTAAGCAAAATGCTTTGCTAAGGCTTTTACTGGTAAAAACAAAGCAAGTAAAAATGCTGTGCTCAGATTTCTACTGGTATCACTAGATGAAATACTTTCCTCAGTTTTATACTGCAAGAAAACATATGTTGATTAACAAAATTAATTACTTGATTAATTAAAACCTACAATATATTCTACCGGAGAGTAATAGAGAACAACAGTTTCAGGGACTGAGTGCTGGTCAGAGTAAGACTGGGGAGCAAATGTCCCATCCATGACTCCTAGGCCTTGAGATCTTCTGTATTTGTTGCCCAGTGCATCTTAATGCCAGCTGCACATTCTGCAGTGCCCTCCCCTGGCTGCCAGAAGCACCTGTCCAAGTGACAGTTGTCTCAAAGCCTTTGTCCCTTCTTCGTGTCTTTGGCTTTCAGGTGTCACTGCAGGCCAATCCCTTCAGCATTGACTCCAAAGTACTGCACCTCCAGGGCTCCCCTGCAGGGAGAAGAGACCCATAACTGCAGCTGGAAGCATGGAGAAGGGATGTGGCAGAGAGCTGGGATGTGGGTATGCTACCATCAGCACCATCCCATCAGCATGGGACACACTGCACAGTTTGGCATTTGGTGGGGTATGACGTGACGTGGGATTGCACTGAGAAGGTGGGCAGCGGAGTTTGCTTTAAGGTAAATTACTGCTGACTCTGTGTGTGTGAAAGCATCTCTGTGCTAGAGAACTGCATCGGGTGGGTGCAAGTCTCTTTACATCCCTATGAGCTGGCTTACTGGGAAGGAAACCTTCTTGCAGAGAAACACTGAGAAAAGTTGTGTAGAATGCTAAAACATAAAAATTTATCACTACTATTCCTCAAAACTTTCTCAAATCTTATTTCACTTGACCAGATAGAAGTAATCAAGATTGAACCTTAATAAAGTGTTTAGGAGAATGAATCGTGATGACAAGTCAGACCAACCAATCCTTACAATTATGCCCTAACTATCAAACTCTTCTGCTTTATGTATCATCTAAAAACGTATTTGCTATCATGCTTCTCTACAATAAGGCAGATTTAGCACGGAGGGAGGGGGAAGACGCTGACTCTGTGCTGGTGGGTTTCTCTGCTTTCACACGCAAGCACGGTGCTCTGCTTGTGCTGTTTGCCCCACATCCTTCACAGGGAGGTCTTCAGGTGAGGACAGTCTTACCCCAGCTCCACTTCCAACCACAGATACAGGAGGGCTGACACAGGTTGTGCAGAGAGGCGGTGGTGCCTCGTGCCTGCAGACACCCGAGGGCAGGGGATGAGATGAGAGCATTGATGGAGCCCTGGGTGCCTCCGTTCATGGAGAGGGACCCGACGGCCTTTCAAGATCCCTTCCATCTCAAACGATTCTACGGTACCGCCGCTCCCAATCAATCTTAGAGGTTACAGAGAAAAAGAACTAACGTAGAAGGTCGGGATTTGAAAAGCTGCGCTTTGCTTTTACGCCGTATGGCAGAGCTCCGCCGCGCCGGGCAGCACCGGGACCAACCGCACCGACCGCAGGCAGGCCGGCGGGGCCGAGCGAGGCCGCAGTGCCACCCAGGGGGCGAGGGCTGCACTTCAGCCGCTGTGCCCGGGGAGCTCCGGCCGCGGAGCCGAGGGATGGGAGCGATCGGGAGCCGTGCGGCCGCGGGGCTCACCTTGAGGATGCGCGGGTTGCGCAGCATGCTGTCCCGGGCCACCCCCAGCCGCTCGTTCTCGCTGCCCGCTGCCACCTCCGCCAGGCTCAGGGGGTGCCGAGGGGGCCCCGCCATGCCGAGACCGCTGTTGCGGGGGCAACGGGTGAAAGAAAGGGGCAAAAAAAGAGCAGAAAGGGACGGGTTACGGCCCCGCTGCGCTGCGGGACCTCGGAGCAGTCCGGCACTGAGGGTGTGTGGGGGGTGCGGGGGCAGAACGGCGTCGCCCCGTCTCCTAGCAACCGCCACGCCGTGGGTGCGCCGCTGTGATGGTTCCGGGTCGGAACACTTCCGCCTGGCGGGGCGGAACGGGAAAAGCGAGCGGAACGGGAAGAGCAGCGCGGCGGCGCTGTGCGGAGGGACGAAGGGTGAACGCGTGAGCGGCGGTGCGGTGCGGTGCGGTGCCGTGCTGCGCCGTGCTGCGTGGTGCGGTGCCGCGTTGTGCTGAGCGGAGCGGTGCCGTGCGGTGCCGGCCTGCGGTAACGGCGCGGTGCTCAGGAGGTGCGGAGGGACGGGCTGCAGTGCTGGGTTGCGGGTTGGGCCGTTTTGCGCGTAGTTTTTCCCGATTAAACGTTCGAGCTTTCGGGTGTTGGCGTAGAGCTGCCGGTACCGGCTCAGCCGCTCACAGAATCGAAGCGCGGTCGGGAGGCTCTGAGCAGAAAACTCAGTGCCTCAGTGCTGTAGTACTGTTAGACTGTCGGTGTGTCGGTGCTGAGCGTAGCAGCGTTATTACGGAGTTGTTCCCAGTCACCTTAGTGCTGACGTTGTGTCTGTTGTTGCAGGCGGCGTTCCCGAGGCTGGGATGCACGGTGTGTGTGATGAGGGCGGCAGCGTTTCCACGCACTCGCTTTGCAAAGTTTGCTCTCCTGCCAAGCAAGCATCTGCCCTGTCTGCTTCTCACCCAATGCTGAGTAGTTCTACAGCAGTTCTATAGGTTTTATCTATTTTATTTTATTTTTTTACTATATGAGGGTCTGGTACGGATGTAATGTTGAGCACGTGAGTAAAACTCTTACTTAACATAAGGAGAAAATATGAGAGAAAAAGCAAATGGTGATGATTTTCCCATTTGGGATTCTCACAAGAAGAAAAAGAGAAAACGCAAACGGTTCAGTGAGGACCACGAGAATGGAAGCATCCAGGATGCAGAGCTCAGCTGTGCTTCTACGCAGCTCTCTGAAGATCATGCAGGACAGAGCAGTGAAGTCTCTAAAAAGAAGAAGAAGAAGCAAAAAAAGAGAGAGGAGCAGCAGCATCTGCTGGAGAATTCTCTTGCAGAACTGGAATGTGAAGTAGGTAGTGAAACTGTGGTGGATACTTCCCGGAAGAAAAAGAAAAGAAGGAAGTGGAAGCTCAATGAGAGTATGGATAGTCACGGTGATGTAGCTTGTGTCCCTGTAAATCAGGATTGTGTTGATAGTTGTCAGGAGGATGATGCTGATAACGTGTGTTTTAAAAAGTCTGTTAAGAAGAAAAGAAAACGAAAAGTGCCAGAAGAGGATGGGGTGAGTGAGTCACCTGCTTCAGAAACACATGGCAATAAAAGGCCGAAAAAGAAGAAGAGAAGAGCGAGCAGTACCCAGGATACGCAGGAGGACAGCGATGCAAATGTTGACCTGTCACTTCTGACGTGTCCAGGCCAAAAGAAGCAACGGGAGGGCATGGAGTCACCATCCACCACAGGTGAGGGTGGTGTGGCAGCGTCGCAGTGCAGAGGCAGCGCCTGTGGTGCTTCTGCTGTCAGTGAGGATCCTACAGACGAACCCACTGGTTTCTCCAAACCTGCTGCGGAAGCTAAGAAGTCATCTAGATGGGCTGCAAAGGTTATAAAGAGCAGGACTTACATCACAGAAGACAGCTCTTCAGATTCTGACGCAATGTAAGTTTAGGGTGGTTTTTTTTCCTACTCCACTTAAACAGGTTTATAGAGCAGTATTTGAGTCCCAGATCTTTCTTCAGTCTTTATTGCGTGCATCTTTAAAAACAGCTTTAAAGCCTGAATGTTATGTTGAGATAATAGAATCCTGCTTTTAGACCTTAGGTATTTCATGAATATAAACATAAGCAGTGAAAGTTTGTAAGAATATGTGACCATTTGCACTGATGTAGAATAAACAATAATAAAAATAACCTTAAAAGTATTTTTTGATAGTAAGAGCATTAATAACAGAGAAGTTCCGTGTTGCCACTGGTATTAAGAGCCACTGTTACTTATGTGTGTCTATGTGTAAGAGTTCTCTGAGAAAGCTGGGACTGATTTCAGAAACCGTTTGAATACTGTAAGCACTAAATGTCATAATGAATTACACCTGTATGAAAAGGCTTCTGCTGGAGTGGAGTGTATGGATCATAGAATCACAGAATGGCCAGGGTTGGAAGGAACCTCAAGGATCATGAATCTCCACCCCCCTGACACATGCAGGGCCACCAACCTCCATATTTAATACCAGACCAGGCTGCCAGGGCCCCATCCGGGGATGTCTGAAATAGTCCTTATTCTTTAATTAATGAATGTGTTTATCCTTTTAATTGCAGAATATCAAAGTCTCTGTTTTGGAGCTCTGCTGTTGGTGGGTTGGTTGGTTTGTTTGTTTGTTTTAATGCTGTTTAATTTTTTAATCAGGACACCTGAAACCACAACATCAAATAAAAAGGAGGACCAGAATAATTCGTTTACTGAAACCACGGCTACTGATGAGCTCAGTCTGGATGATGAAGAGTTCCTGCACATGGTTACAGTCTTGGATTTAGATACTGCAAGGCAAGAATTGGAGGAGTTTATTCCTCATGTGGGTCAATTGTCTGACCATTCAATCAGAAAAATGGCTGGAAGAGACTTGCTGAGATTTAAACAGTTTAAAAGACAAGGTGAGACCTCAAAAGAATGCTGCAGTGAAGAAGTGTGTAGCTGTGCTGATATTTTGACTGAGGGGAAATAGCTTTTGTGTCCTCTCACAGCCGTGCTCTTGTTGCAATTTATGTAATGCTAGTGAGCATGTTTTTGTTGCTCTGTTTCGTAGCATCCCCTATTTTATCAGCAAATTACAGTTCAGAATGTATGCTTGAATTACCTGCTCTTGTCTCTAGTTTACTTTCTCTTCCGTATGCCGTTTTACCTCCTGAATTTGTTGATCTTCTGCTACATGTTTTCTAAAACATCTTTGCTATCTTGAAGTATTCTCTACTTGGGGCTATTTTATTTATTTTTCTCATAGAAGTTTCTTTCCATTTTAGGTATCGCTATCAAGTTTGGCAGATTCACCCAGAAAGAAAATAATCAAATCAGGAAAAATGTTGAAGAGTTCTTATCAATTACTGGGATAGACAGTGCTGAAAAGCTCCTGTTTACCTCCAGGTATCCAGAAGAGAAGGAAGCCATCAATCGGCTCAAAGCAGAGCACCGTTTTTGTGAAAAGCTTGGTAAGCCTTAAAGCTCTGTCTCAGATATTTTGATGTTACATTGCACAGACTGGTGATATCTCCTTTTTCTTTTCTTTTTAGTAAATTATTACTGAAAAGCGCTCAAGTTGGTGATTTGGCAAAGAAAAGGAACACGTTGCTGAGTTTTGTAGTTGATAATTGCACAGGGTGCTGTCCTTGTTATTTGTTCTAGGTCAGGAAGAAGTTAGAAATGAAAATTTTATCGTGACCAGCAGCTCTTACAGACTTACATTTGGGTTTTGTGGCTTAAGGTACATTATTTGCTAGGCTGTATCTAAGTTTAGTGACTTATCAATGGGAAGGAATGATTAAATGCTGTCTGAAATATTCAGCATCCAGTGATGTCATGAACAGGAAGGAGTGAAGTCATTAGCCAGGGGAGTTAGTATTCCAAAACGTGAGGAAAGCAAATAAAATTCCAGCTCATGAGATTCTGTTTGCAAGAGGCACAATCTCTTCCCTCGTGACTTTTCATGGCTAGGAAACTTTCCTGCTTTGTATAGCAAATATATTCATTTTGTGATGTCCCTGGTGAAGCTGCTCGGTGCCCTTTCTCAGTGGCTCATCATGCTGTGTTCTCTACAGGCAAGGCAGAATAAATGATAGCCCTGGGATTGGATACTTTGGTTCTTCTTGAAGATTTCATGAACCTGATCTTTCCACCTGTGTTGTCACACTGGCATGGTGTTGACTTCTCATGTGAGACACCACTCCTGCTCTGGGAACGTGTGGCAGGAAGTGACATTGATGTGATGCCAAGTGCTGTTAGCAGTCTTAGCCGAGGTTGTTAGGTGTTCCTGGATGCGTTTATTTCTGTGGATCTTTCTCCACTTCAAGGATCTTTCCTTCAGCCAGGATCTTCACTTTCTTTTCGCCGAGTGCCTCCTTTCCCTGATTTTCAGAGTTGAAATAGTCAGCATGCAAAAGTGCTTGGCCTCCTGATGGGTGGCTGCCTCGTGCCTTTCTATCAGTAGGACGATTCACTAAGCTACTTGCATGTGGTCCACATGTGATACAAATATACACCCAGTCCATCCAAACTGGAAGCTTTAGAGCAGTAGATTTAGCTTTAGAATTCAAAAGTTCAGTTTGGAATATTCACCTGCACACTCACAGAATTATGTATTAGCTGTCACATGTGTAATCTTACCATGGGACTCTCTGGGACTCTTCAGGAGGTTCTATCAACACTTTTCCTGTGCAGTTTCTGAAGTGTTGTAGAGTACTGTTTCTTGAATGGAGAGAATCTATGATTAAAAGCAGAGTCATAAAAATACTTTTTTTTTAAAGTTGCTTCACCAGTGTAAAAATGTTTCTTCAAATTGAATTGTTTACCTTCCAGCTGAGGGCATACCTCGAGCCTGGAGACTTATATATTACCGAGCAAGGAAGATATTTGACCCCAATAATTACAAAGGGAGGTAAGCCAGTAATTTGAAAGAGTTTAAAAGAAGGTTGATGGCATTCTCTGATGTTTACTTCTTCGTTAAATGTGGGTATAATTAAGATCATCCCACGTTTCTGCTGGTTCCTGTGACTTAATGGGCAACTCATTTTTCTAACTAGTTGCTGTAAATCCCTCCAGTATAAAGCGTGACTTGAAATTGTGCTGAATGTCTCTCTTATGATATTGGAGG